CCTGTCAATCTGATAAAAATAATGTGATTAGGGATGAAAAGTAAAAAAAGTGAAGAATCAATAATAAAATATGTCAAAAAATATTTACAAGAATGAGTAGAAGAGAAAGAAACCGATCTCAAACATGTCAAGCCACTCAATCTCAATAATGATCTCCCTTACAACATTCTCGCCAACAATCGCCACCTCACGATAAATATCATTCAATCTCTCACGAACTTCTGTCAAATGAAATAGATTAGTTTTACTCTGCAGCAAGAGTCACGATCTATATCACATGATCGTGATTATCAAACCTCCAATCAGAATTAAACACAAAATGATCGTTATGATCATAGTATATAAACCTTTTTTTTTTAATTTTTAGATGTTTGATCTTTATCTTTTTTTTTATTATTTATTTTATTAAAGAGCATTTGGGTTTCCATCACCAAATTTACAACTGACTTTTTTAGCAAAACTGGCAACTATATCTTTTAATTAAAGTTAAGCAATGATATTTGTGACATTAAGGAGAAACTGAAGTGCAAAAAAACAGACCAAGCAAAGGACCTTTTTCCTAAAGTATTAGACTTAAGTATTTTGTTAACACAAAATACTCTGGCTATATTGATATCTGGATATACTGGCATCTGACAATTCATATCTATATACTTAATATAAAAATGTTGCTAGCTAAACTGAAATCTGGATATATCAGATATTTTTTTATTTTTATTGAGATATCGATATAACTAGAGTAATATATATGTAGAGCATGTATTTAAGTTATTTGTTTTAATAATTTTGTAGAAAGTATATATTGGCATTGTAAAATGTTTTTTCCTCAACACATTTATCTAATACAAAGCATATTAAAAAAAGCCCTCAAGAATTATCTAAATGAAAACCTTTCTGAATTCATGTTGAGTATAAGCAAAAATGAGTTTACCAATAAGTTCCACAGTGGCTAGTGTAGTCAAGTGAGCAATTTTTATATAAATAATTATAATTGTTTATTTATTAACATTTTATACTAATATATCAAATTTTTTTTAATAGTTTTTACAAAAAATGAAAAAATATTATGGCTCAGTATTGCAAAATGTCTGTTCGTTTATTTGGAAGGTTTTTGGTCAGAAAAAGCTCACTCACTTAAAAGTAATGCAGCTTTTAGTGAAATAGTAAAGTGGAAGCAAAGTTCACTAGTTAGAGGAGGGCCATTTATCAGCTGATATTTTTTTATTAAGAGGCTACCCCCCTCCTCTACCTGATTTTAAATAAAAAATTTTAATTGGCTAAAACTATATACCTGATAATTTTTTTATCTCCTCCCCCTAAAAAATCAGCTGATTTTTGGCACTCCCCTTAGTAAATACTACTACACTCTTTTTGAAGAGAATGATAAAGGTTTTCTTTAGGTCAGTATTATTGTACAAACCATCTTTAGCTGACTGCTATCCCAGACTTGATAAACTATCACTATACCTTTACTCTGGCAGTATGTAATATTTTACTAAATCTATAGTCAAGAAATGTTTTGTATAAGAAAGATCAGATTGTGTGTCACATTGAGCAATATTTGGTAAGTATTAGCAATCTATTGTTTTATAACAGATATGATATTAATATTTATTGTATTCAAATAGAATGATTTTGAACAAAGTGGTCCTAGTTATGATTCTGCAGAATTGATCATAAATAATGAACTTGCAGTGCACTTCTATGATAGTAAACTAGTACCAGCACATTTCAACGATGCTGAATGTTCGAAACTATATATGCCACCAAAATAGATTTTCAAAAAAACCCTATTTCATCTCTATTAGAGCAATTTAGAATTTCTTATATGCAAGAGCAAATCTAATTTAGATAGTTATATTCTTTATAATTTCATCTTTTCAAAAAAAGTGTCAAAAAATTTTATCTTTTAAATAAAATAGGTCAAAAACAATTTCGTCTTCAAATTTTAATTTCATATCCTGAAACCTAAAATAATTTTGTTGGCATGTATATTTGAGACCAACCTCAGCTGAATGTGAATCTTTTTCTAGAAGATTTTTAGGTATACTTTCACAAGAAGAACAGGATGAATTATTTGGGGCTGATCAATAACGCAGTTATACAAATAGTTTTTTGTTTTTTTTATATAATAGTTTAAAATAGTTGATATTTTAATGTATAATTTTTTTTTTTTTTTAATATTAAGGTGAGGTCATGCCTCTGGTTTTTATTAATATATACTACTATCATTTACAATTTCATATATATTAATTTTATAACTACAGAAACTTAGATTAATTTATCTATGACCTAAACCTACTAGAATATTCTATGCTCTATACATTTCTTATCTAGCTTTATATTTTCTAACTAACTATGTTTAGTAACTACTATATTCTCCCACGCCTCACATGACTAGTCATAACTTCCAAATTGGTATATCAGGTACTAGCTTCTTATGAGCTCTCAAGTTGGTATACCTGCAAATATGATCTACTGCAAGTTTCCTTTCGAATTCTATTAGTACAACTGTAATTGGTGCAGATGGCTTTTCTATAGCCTGTATCTCAAGCCAGAATCTTGCTGCCTAGTTAGGTTCACCATATAACTGAGTTGGTATTATATTGTCAGATTACTCTATATTTATTTACAAATAAACTCTCCTGCTTATTAGCTCAGATACTACTAACTCATATCTCGAGTCAAGTTTCTGCTACTACTGCTGGTTTGCCAATCTCACGACTTAATATTCTTTTTCTAGTATAGTGGTACTAGTATAACCTATTTGTATTTCCTTATATAGTGTACTACCAGAACCTTATTTTGTGAATATACACTTTTAACCGTAGGCCTTGCATTATATTACTAGGAGGCAGTGCTTCAATTCACTTTGACTTCCACCTTGATCTTCTCATTGGTTGGTGTTGTATTATTGTTGGTGTATTCTAGCTTTTTTTGTCATTGACTTCTATATAAATATGACCAGAGCTCTGACTTGGTGCTTTTAGACATACTAGATTAGCTAGCTTACCTCTATGAAATTACCTTTTTTAGTTAGTTGTTCTATGGTGCCAGAGGTGCTTCTAATTCAGGTAAGGCCAATCCTTTACTACAGCCCTTTCACATATTTACCGCTTCTCTCACCATTCTAGTTTTGGTAGTATTATATTACTCTTCCAAGCAAGTACCCAATGCTATTCTATATTGGGACTTATATACATAATAATTGATCATCCTTCTAAGCAAGTACCCCACAAGTTGGCTGCAGGGATATTAATATTGCTGAATACAGAGATAATAGGATGTTGGTATTGTCTCTTTAGTCACCCCAACCAAAGGGCTTACTCATGCAATCTTCTATAATCTAGACCTTTTGTGATACTGCTATTACATATGGTACCTGTATTCTATGATTGAGGCTCTTTCTAAGAATTTCTATTTTAGAACTGTATTTGCATTTAGACTTTCTACAGGGCTTCGCATCTGATTATAGCTCTATACAGTTACAGTAACAAATTTAAAATTTGTCACCAGCCCAATTCGAACTATTGATCTTGTTTGTGGGGTTTGAAAGCTTAACCAATAAGCTACAAGGCCCAAATCTAATATATAATTCTACTTGTATTGCTTTGTGTTATATATGTAATAAATATTAGACAAATGATTTTTGTATATCAGTTTTATGAACATCTATTTTTTTTGACCAATAAAATCACAGCATCATTTTTCATATTTAAATTCGATGATAATTTATATATATCAGTTTCGTAATATATATGCATATCAAATTATTAAAATTAATTAATTGCTTAATTAAATTGATTAAATTATCAATTTTATTATTACATTCTTATACATTGGTATTTCGTTGACCTATTTCATCATTGAACTTTCACTTTTTTCACTTTTCTTTGCTATTCTCATTATTTTTATACTTTTTTTTTATTTATTCTTGCACTTTGGTGTTTCATTGATATACTTTATTGTTGATCTTTTACTTTTTTCACTTTTTATCCCTATTTATATTATTTTTATACTCTTTTTTTTTTAATATTCTTATACTTGATATTTCGTTGACCCACTTCATCATTGAACTTTCACTTTTTTCACTTTTTTTCACTATTCCCATTATTTTTATACATTTTTTTTTATTCATTCTTGCACTTTGGTATTTTGTTGACATATTTTATTATTGATTCTTCACTTTTTTTACTTTTCATCCCTAATCACATTATTTTTATCAGATTGACAGG